AAACCTCACTCCCACCTACCAACCAAAATGTGACAAAAGAATTTATTCAAAAAGAGTTGCAAAACCCCAGAAGGGAAAAATGCTCCAGAAGATGTAACAAGGTGATAGCAGGCTGATGAATGCAGATAGTGCTTATGGGACTCAATAAATAAAACTCCAAGCAGGGAAGCTGTCATTCCCTGAGCTCATCAGCTGGCCCAAATTGCTCCTCTGAAGAAACCACRTGCTGGTTCCTAGTATCTGTAGCTCTGGACATACTCACACACCTTGCTAGGGTTATTACCCTATCTCAGAACTACTGGATAGCTAGGTTTACTCTAATTTTAACCAGAATCATTATACTACCTGTTTCCTTTTATTATTTTGTTGTAATTTTGTTAACTAGTTAGCCTTAAATTACTAATCTCGGGGGGTGGGTGTTACCATATCTCAAACTACTATTGCAATTAAAGCTCCCACAGAGCACCAAAGACAAACACAACCTTTGCTCTGATGCTATAGTTACTGCCTAAATTCCCTTGACTACACAGTCCCTCTCAACCTAACTGCCCGTGAGGACTGTAAATGCAATCAGGACACGGTCATGTGGTTCTGACCCTCCAGAAATCTGGCAAGAACATCCCAGTAGTGGGTTTTATAGTCTGAAGTCCAGCATTTCACACTGCCTTATACAAACAGCACCCCAACAACGGTTACTCATAACTGGATTGATCCGTAAACACAGAGACGTGACTTTGTGGCAGTTTTACACAGTCACCAAAAGGAGGACAAATTGCAGAAAATGGATCTTTAGCAGCMTGCAGGGCAGAGCCCACAAGCAACTGCAAGAACACTGACATCCCCTCTGGTGCCAGGGATCTAAGGTATATCTAGGGATTTATCCTGGGCCTTGGGAGGCTGAGCCACTCTGGAGAACTCAGCACTGAGATAGCCTGAAACCTGCGTCTCATCAGTAGCTTAAAARATTATCTCAATTCCTCCTTCCAAACAGGCTACAGGTAAAGAAAGAATACTATTTTTGAAGCAGGCATGGGTGGAATGGTGTTTCAAAAAGCCTGCCTCAAACACTAGCTTTGTCTCAAATAACTGAAAGCTGCAGTACTGCGCACATCAAAAGCAAGTTCCTTAGCAATGTTTTTCATGTTGTTCTTCAAAACAGAAGCTGTGCCATGTGTGTGAAAATGTCTGCAGTTTTCTAAAGGTTTCTTATGATCTAGCCATGCCTCTTACTGTATGAAAAGCTSCAGAAAAACAGAATACAGCTGTGAGGCCCAGGGCAATGTCCTAGAAGTTGCTCAAATATGATCAACCATAACAGTTCAAGACTTGCTTAAGCTGACATCATGCAGAGAGTCAAACACTACTGCTCTGCACCTCTGAATGCCTCCATTCAGGTGCACAGAGCAGGTCTTCCAGTCTAGTGCAACACCCCACCTGCTCTGCACCTGCGTGGGCTGCTCTACATTAATTAACCTGTAGCAATACTCCCAAAGGTGAGGAGATATATATGAGCAATACTTCTAAAGGTGAGGCTATGGATGAATCATGTTGYACCACAAAGCTCAAGATGAGAGAGATGCTCAGGAGAAAAACGTGCTTTGTGAGGCTTCGCAAGCCAAAAGCAATTTTTCAAGATCCTCCCTCTTTTTACAAATAACCAACACCAGCCTTTAGTTCCAACTCTATGCATACTGGTGCAGTTCCTAGGCATCGAGGGCTCTCTAAATTCTACTAAGATCCCCCTGCTAACTCCCGAGCAGCTGCCTGACAGCGCTGCCCAAGGGGTGTGAGGCACTGAGCCAAGCACAGCCCTTGCCTCATTTCACCTAGACACAAGGATGTGGGCAGAGACAGCAGAGTCTACACAAATGCAGACACGGCACAGGCCATGGAAGCTCTCAGAAACACCAGTCCTCTCATCAGGGGGAGGTGAATACATACAGCATGCAAATACAGATCTGGCCTTTCTAGCAAAGCCACAGAGTATTCCCATTCATGTTCCCATTCCCACGTTCCCATGCCGTTTTCTCTGGCAGAGACAGCAACATAYACGACTGAAGCAACCGACCATGGGCGCCACCCCTTACCCTTCTGCACAAAGGTGATGAACTGCTTTACTGTCTGATCCAAGTCAACGCCATGATACACCACCGGCCTGAAATTCCGGTGCTCAAAAGAGCGAACAAGACGAACGGTAATGGTTGAGCTTTCTGCTGACATGGGAATTAACTGTGAATACCCTAGAAAACAGTAAAGTGGGCAGTTATTGTCTTTCCTCTACATACGACCCCAGYTACAAAATAAGGTATAGATGGACTCATTCAAATATTAAAAGATTCTAYGTTAAATAGTCATATGTTTTTCAAGTCTTCGCTTTTAAGATTCCTGCCGGGGTCACAGCAGGATCTCAAAACAGAGGATTACCGAAGATATTATTGACATTAAACACCAAACAGCCCTTATCAACTTCCCATTGACTACAATGGCCCGCCACAGAGCACAGCACTAAACTGTTTATAGAAACAGACAAAAAGATACACGGCTAGACACAAACAGGCCTCCRCGACTTTAAGGGACTAGATTTTTCCTGACATGTAAGTAACAATTTCCCCTGAGAGGAAATATGGACAAAACCGAAATCTTTTTAATTTAATTTTAACTTTCTAATTAATTTTAATTTTCACCCGTTGAGGGTGAAACACCTGAAAAATGCCTCTCTCTTTCCCCTCTTCTTTCCTGCTCCTCCCCCTGCCTTTTATTTTAATGCTCCGTTCCCTTTTTTCGCTTTGTTTCGCATAGAAACCCTCCACCCGCTCCCCGCGGCCGCAGCCTCCCTCCCTCCCTCCCGGCCCCGCCCATCAGGGGACCGTTAACGGCTCCCAGCCTTACGGCAACGGCGCCGTCCGGCACTTCCGGGTGTCTCCCGTCGCCCCGGCCCGCGTAGCTCCGCCCYCCAAGCCCTTCCCCTCCCTGCCCTCCAGCCAGCCCGCCGGGACGCGGGATTGGCTACGGGACGCGCTGGCCCCGCCCCTTCGTCGCTCCCCCAATCAGCGCCGCTCCTCCCTCCCACGCCCTCCCTTCAGGCCAGCTCTCACCTCTCGCCTCGTGCCCCCTCCCCAGCCCGCCTCTCTCCCTTGCCGCCTTCCCATTGGTCCCTCAGCCGCCTGTCCCCGCCCCCAGCCAGGCGCCGATTGGCCGGCGGGCGCTCTGGCCACGGGCGCGGCGGCGGGGGCGGCGCAGTCGGCCTGAGGCGGCGGCGGCGACAGCGGCAGCGATGGCTCAGGTGGCGCTGGGCCCGGGGTGGGGGGCCCGGGGACGGGGGCCGCGCGGCGGGAGAGGCCGGGGGGGAGGCCCGGCGGCGGCGGGGGGGGCTCATGGCGCCGCTGCCCGCCCCGCAGGCCGCGTTCGAGAAGGCGGCGGAGGAGGTGAAGCGGCTCAAGTCGCAGCCCAGCGACCAGGAGATGCTCGACGTGTACAGCCACTACAAGCAGGCCACGGTGGGCGACGTGAACACGGGTGAGCGCCGCGGGCACGCGCGCCGGCCGCCCCGCGTGACGCCCGGTGCAGCGGCGGGATTAACTCGGTGGCAGCCGCCCAAATCCTCACAGGGTCCGGGGAAGCCCCGGCGCAGTGGGAGTTTGGAGCCCTTTGCCARTGAGGAGCTGCCCAGGGCAAGGGCTGGTGCCGGTATCCAACACTTAGTGGCTGCACAGGCTTAACTGGCGAGGCAGGATGCAAATGTGCGGCCCCAAACGTGGAGCTGGGGAGTAACGAGATCTGCAGCTAAAAATAGATTTGGAAGCCCACAGCGGAAGAAGACAACGCGAGTGTGTRTAAAACAGGCAAAACTTCCCGGGGAGCTGTGATTAACTGTTGTGTTTACGGAGGCTGGTAGTTAAATACCTCTAGGTGAGACACTGCCGGGTCGGTTGTGCTGCTCCTGCGGCTTTGCTTCTGTCCCTCACAGCTTGGCCTGTGAATAACGCTCAGAATGGGCCCTGTCCCCATTGACCTTGTGGAGCACTGGAATAAGTAGGTTCAGCAAGGAGAAAGGCCCTTCGCTTGGAGTGCCGGCCTCCTTACCCCGCTAGGGGTTAAGGTTATTGGGTGCAGGTTGAGCCCAGAGCTGGTAGAGACGTGTGCTGGCAGTGTGAGTCTGTGCCCTGCATTGCGGGGCAGCAGATAACAGGAGTTGGACAGAGGAGCAATCTCTGTAATACTAAGAGAGGGAGCTGCCAACTAGTTCGATAGGTCACGGTGCCGTGTGAGCAGTGCAAAGGCTCCTGTACTGTCCAGTCCTTTAACTGGCCATGCACGGGATTGCATTTAGTGGGAGAGCAAAGTGGTAAAAACGGAGGTGAACTTGCATGAAAAACAATTGCAAGTACATTTATATCTAACTCCTTTTTTTTCCCCCCTCTTTTTGGTTGCAATCACCCCTGGCCTGTAATGAAGTAAGACATAATTCAGTCTTATATCACTAGCTTCATAAAGCACCAGAAAAACTACACTAAAATAACGTTAAATTGAGGATAATGAGTTTTAAGCTGCATTTAGAACTAGTACTGGAGATTTCGTGTCTGTGTAGGCAATGGACCTTGAGCAAGGGGATTTCTGCTCTACTTTAGAGCTAATATCCTCTGATTGGGTAGTGTTTGTGCTAGAGAATCCCCTTCAGAAAGTACAGCCATAAACCCAGAGACTCTGTGGTGCTCTTTTGTTTAAATGCTTAAGGGACTCAGCAGAGAAAAACCTCTGTCACAGCCGATAGCGCCGCAGCAGCCTGATCTCCTCCCTGCAAGTTAATAAGTGATGCCTGCAGTGGTGGGTCATCGTATTCTGCCGTGTTTAAGAGCAGCACAGTTTTTGGGAAGGGGCTAGGTGTTATCTGCAGCCCAGCCCCACAAACTAATTCTGCTGTTAATCCTCTCAGAACGTCCTGGCATGCTTGACTTCAAAGGCAAAGCAAAATGGGATGCCTGGAGCGCATTGAAAGGTAAGAGTCTGCTTAAAAGTAGGGGGTCAGGGGAAAATATGAGGTGGTTGAGCATGGAACTTGTTGCACTCTAAAATACCACATAAGACAAGAATTGGAACTGCACCAAAATGGAGTCTGAGCTCCTTGAATGGCTTTCCTGTAGTATTGAATGGACTAAATACAAATAATAGACTGTTCTGTTGCCATCTATGCAGATGTAAACTTGATGTAGAATGTGTTTCTTGTGACTGCTGATCACACTTGTTTAGAACTTTAATACTAGATTCACAGCCAAGTGAATCTAGTATTAGATTCACAAGATTCACTGTAGCTTCTTTGCTGTCTCTTTGCATGCTGCAAAATGTTAGAGCAGGAAATCGTAGCTTGCAAGGGGAAGACATCTTAATGCCTAAGTAATTGCAGACTGGGATAAACATACCTTTCAGAAAGATACTTCCCACTTGCCTGAGCCCTTCTTAAAAGTATCACAGAAGCAGAATGGCAGGCCAAAACCTAAGTCTTCTTAAGCAGGAAGTTCCTGCATTGCCTGCCAACTCTGGTGTCTGCTGTGCTGTTCTGCCCTTTAACTTCTGCTATCTGGCCACAGCAGAGACAGTTTCGGTGACTTGGGTAGTGATTTTATGTCATGACCATGGAGAGAAGAGCAAAACAGGGACCCTGCAGAAAGCAATGTTGCAGGAAGTTGTTTCTTTAATAATTTGTAAGTGCCTATGTATATCAGTGATACCCAGCCTGGATATAAAAGTAGTCATGACTGAAAATATTAAAAATTGGGCCTCTGAGTAGCCATCACAACTATTCATAAGGTGGCAGCAAAATCCTATGTTTGTGCAAGTGACTAATAGACTGCAGGTACCTGCAGATGCTCAGGCTCTGTGTGAATCTGTGTGAGTGTGTGCATCACCTGGATTTGCTCAGCCTAAATAGTCTTTACCGGTATCTACTGCTAATGGCATTACTGGTGGCATTGGTTTGGGGTCTTGGTTAGCCTAGACACGCTAGGGAGTGAACCAGCAGAAAATACAGACCCAGTGARCAAAGCTTGTGTGGAACAGGTGAGCCTGTGACACCAAGATGTTGCAAGACTTGGTGGTCTGTGTGTCCCTGGCAGAACAGAGAGCCTGTCTGGGGAAGAGCAGCATGAGGGGAGCTCGCAGGAGAGGGCTGGGCTCTTGGGTCTCGTCTGACTGCCTCTCGTGTTGTGTCTTTCAGGGATGTCCAAAGAAGATGCCATGAAAGCCTATGTAGCGAAAGTGGAAGAACTGAAGGGCAAATATGGCATCTAGGGCCTGGATATAGCAACCATTTTCATATCTGCAATATGCCTTATTTCTAATACTGTGGAAGACTTATTACTGAGGGTAACTTTAAATACCTAGTTTACTGTAATCTGTTTTCATAATGCCTACAGTTCAGTAGAAATTGCGTATCTGCCTAATGTACTGACATGTAATGACTTTGTCCTGTGAATGAAATGATATGGAACTCATTAAAGTGCTTTTGATACTCTGGCTGTCATGGTGCTCGTTCCTYGGATCATTCAGCACCTGCTCCCATTTCCAACATGGAGATGCCTCCCTTGGCTGCTGAGGTGCTGCCTGTGACTTTCCTTTCCAAGGCGAAAGCCAGAATTGGCACCAGCCTCTCTGGTTGTGGTGCCACTAGGGGGACCCGGCAACCCGCATTTAGGCAACGTGGCCCGAAGCCGAAGAGGTGGTGACTGACCCTGCTCTGCCTCCGTGTCACTGAGACAAATGGCAACCTGCAAACGCCAGAGCTTAAGGGTCTGATGCCATGTGTGCCAGGAACGAGATGCTGGATATTTGTTGCCTGGGGTTTTCAGGAACTCATTGAAGGATCACCAAGGGGTGCTCTGCAGAGGCTGTCTTGGAGGTGGTGTCCCTCAGCAGCACTGCTGAGGTTCTGCAGATAAGGCAATTAGTCAACAAATGAACACAAGACATYACCTGTGAAAGGAAAGAATCTGTGGCAAAGTGAGCAGTTTGTGGCCCTGGTACTTTGTTGCCTGTAATTGTAGAGTACCAGCAACTGCCAGAGCCATCGAATATAGTGAGCRTACAGGGACAGGTGAACCGAGCATAAACTCGTTTAGTTCTTACAATGCTGTTGAAATGGAAGGTTAACTTTTGCAGATCAGCACTGTAAAAAGTCTTGTTTTATAGAAGACTCTTCTCCATTGACTAGCTATTTCTGGCTGCCACATCTGCTGTATTAGAGCTGCTGATGCTGAAAGGAGCATCTTTCAAAATACAAAACCCTGAAATATTGCACAATAGGGCTTAAGAGAACAGTCACAGCTGTATGCAGGAGTTAGGCATTCCAGCTCCTGCTACATGGTTAGGCATCTCAGTGGATGAAGACTTCAGATCAAGCTGCCTTCAGGTAAGCAATTCATTTCTTTAAATACATGGCTGTGAATGCTATCATTATCTCACTAGCTAAATAMATAGTTCTGTACTATTGTTATCACACTCTACTGCACATAGCTTGTATTATACCACTGGTTGGTAAGAGGGGGATATGACTTTACCTCTGTTTTTTTCAAAAGCTACAGCCTTCCACCTCTGCTAAACTTCATCAAAAAAGCTCTTGGATCTGATTACTCCAACACATTTTAAGGGGAGGTTGAACAAAGAAGGGTTTGTTCCTTGTCCTCACAAAGGAAAAGGTTGCTTATTCCTTTTTTTTTTTTTTTTTTTTTTTGGTTCTTTTATGTAAGTAACATAAACACATCTTTTTCTCCCTGCATCCTCTGCTAGTTGCTTGATATGAACTGTTAAGTGTGTTTATCCTGCAAAACAGAGCTATGAGCAGTTGGCAAAGCGGTTTTAGCTCTTCCTCAACCAGAGTTTCACAGCTGTGGTCTCTGAAGCTGGTTATCCTTAGGGGATATGACTGACTTGTAGCAGAATGTAACTTGTACTAGCAAATGCTTCCCCTCCAGCTCCTGTTTGCTGAAAACTTACCTCCTGTGAGCACACAGCATTTTGCCAACTTGCTCTCCGTCAAAACAGACATTTTGCTTTTTCAGAATCATTGACTAAAACAACAGAATTTAGGTTCCCTGTGAGACTATGCAATTCCAATAGAGCTCTTCTCTTTCCTTACACCTGCCTGGCAGCAGGGAGCAGTCACCGTGTATATGGTGCTTAGCCCACAAAGGACAGGGGTTTAGACCAAGTTTTTAAATGTTGCCTTGTATTTACAAGTAATATTGTTTACCAGCCTCTATCTTGAATATTCCTGTTTAGGTGCTTTATTTTAACCACAGTAACATACTTACGCTTGCAGCTTTATCTTTTTTAGAAAAGTAACACTGTTTTTATTAGTGAATCAGCACTTGCTTAATGTGATTGTGGCCTCTTGTGTGCTCTTTCTGTCTTCAGAAATGCTGCAGACTGGAGGGGCGCCACTGAAAAGGCTGCGAGCTGAGCGAGTGGACTGGTTGTTAAGCAGCAGGGTGAGTGTCTCAAAGACTTGGGCTGTTTGTTTAGAAAATGCAGCTGACTTTCTGCATAACCCCTGGAACACTGGACTCCTGGATCACATAAATAACACAGGAGCAGCAGCGATGAAGGACCAAGGAGAGCTTAAAGATGCTCACAAACAGGTTTGCAGCTAGAGGTAATGGCTGTTGTTAAACTAACAGAGTGGTAAAAATAAATAACCATTAAGATTTAYGGCCCGTTCTTGAGGTCTGAAAGGAAGCAGCAAGTCTCATAGAATCATGGAATCGTTAATACTGGAAGGGACCTTCAGAGGTCGTCTAGTCCAACCTCCCTGCACACGCAGGGTCACCTAGAGCATGTGGCACAGGTTGTGTCCAAGCAGGTTTGGAAGAGCTCCAGGGAAGGAGACTCTACAACCTCTCTAGGCAGCCTGTGCCAGGGCTGTCACCCTCACTGTTAAGAAATTTTTCCTTAAGTTCCTGTGGACCTTTCGGTGATTCAGTTAGTGGCCTTTTCCCCTAGTTCTGTCAGTGACCACCACTGAAAAGAGGCCRCCCCCTCCTCCTCCCTCYCTCCCTCCTTTAAGGCATTTATAGACACTGATCAGACCCCCCTCAGCCTTCTCTTCTCCAGCCTGAACAGGCCCAGCTCTCTCAGCCTTAACCAGAACACAGCTGGATAAAGAAATGAGAGGGGAGCCGTGGCCAGCACCCGGCCTGCTGAGCATGCAGAGCGCGCTGGACTTTGCCACCAACATTACCTTGCGTGTGATAAGGCAGAGTTCCCTCTATCTCTCTCCCACCATCCGCTCTTGCGCAGAGGAATTACTTGAATGGCTCCCAGTGCAATAAGAGATAAGCTATAAATGGGATAGATTTTTTTTTCTTTGTTTTCTTTTTCTCTTGCGTTACTGAAGACATGTGAGCGTGCAACACTCCTAGTGCAGATTTAACAAATAGCTCTGTATCAGCGTGCTGATTAAGGCCAGTAATAGATTAGCAACCTTGAAGTTAAGCTTTCTGCTTCACTGAAAACCCTCCAAGGGTGACCCTTTCTGTCAAAATTTTTCAAACCTAATCTGGAGTGACCATGTTTTCCAATGCAGGTATTATTTTAACCTTTGAACCTATTTGATTTGACAGCTTAAATGACAATTGCAAGTTGCATTTGTAGTTTATAGTACAGACACTTGCCTGCTCAGTTCAGAGCCAACAATATTGAGCAATACCAGGTTGGGGTGAACAGGCATCTGAGCTATCTGGAGTTATGGATGAAAGGAAGAAGGGAAAAAGAAATGCATTTCAGGTTAGGTTCCTAGTACAAGAACATTAACCAAAASCAACCTAGAAAGGGTTATGCAGTCTTATCAACTTTTCAAAACTACTGAAGGGTGAGACAAGATAACTGATCTTTCACCGATCTTCAGCTGTCAAGTTGAACTGCAAATAGGCCCTAGGAATTATTTTTTATAAAAATGGTCTCCAGCTTTATAAACGATGTGTGTGTATCCCTTCCAGAACCAGCATCTACATCAGGTTCAGTCTGAGTTATTCTGTGGTAGAGCTCTTGGGAGGAGGTTGGGTGCAGCAGCCTGTTCTAACTTTCCAACTTAGACCTGTGGCTTCTGGACTTTGAGCTGCTCCTACCCCTGGTCCATTTGCCTTCAAGATAGGGTGCAATAACACTTGTCAGGGCTGATTCATCCTTTAACAACCATTGTGCCATGCAGTGTGGTTTTAGAGCAATCCCTTGTCACATTAGGRGGACCTGTAGAGGTACAGAGGGTTCTTCAAAATCATTTAATATGTCCTGTCTCTAATGGCATTTGAATCTTTCCTGWACTTAGAAGAGAAAAATGCCTAGACTGCTAGAGAAGCTGTGTATAAGTACAGTATGATTAATAAGCTTGGGCTGCGGATATAATAAWGTCTGTCTAAAGATCCTAGGGCTGCTTGCCATTCTGGAACAGSTGGTCAAAATTCCTGGAGCTCGGGAAGTTTATGAAAGAGGTGATATGAAAACCAGCCTGGAGGTGGAATCARTGACTTGCAGATCCCTTTCGATCTTTGTTCTAGAAAGGATTATTTTAGCTATAATATAACACTCCTGCACTGAAGTGCCTTAAGCTGAGTCCAAAGTTCTGACAAATGGGGGAATCATGATCTCTCTGCAAAGCCCTTTAAGTCATGTGTTTCTTCTCTCTGTTGTTGCAAGTCTTGCCTCAAGCTCGTCCTTGCAGCCTGGCAAGAATAAAATGATATTATTGAGCTAAGACAGCCAAGGTGACACCTTGTTTGTCTCCACCAGCCAGTGCGGAGGAGCAGGGAAAGGCAACAGTTGCACAAGGCAGCTTGAGGTTTTCACCTCTGCAGTAGGATAAAGGCTGCTTGCACCCTGATCTAATGAGATCTCTGACGTGATAAGAGCACAGATGGAAGCCTGGGATTCACTCCTGTTTATCTTCCTCAGCTCTGTAACTAGAATGATCTGAGGCTTTCAGAAAGACAGCTATGACTGCTGGCTGACAGCAYTAAAATAATGCTATCGTATTCAGAATTAAGGTGAGATGTATATGCAGAAACCCTGGGACTATAGAGATGTGTACAAGACACTCATTTTTGTGTTCCCCACAAGGCTGAGGTGCCATCTCCTGCTAACACTACGTGAAGGAATTTTGAATCTTAAACCTATGCTCCCAAATTTAACATACTGGATATTTTTAACACTGGTGTTTAGTTGCATTGATCTGCGATAAAAAACGAGACAACTGAGAAACCAAATATCTGATTTCTCCCCCTACTACAATTCAGTAGAGTGCACCAGCTTGCTTTGTACTGAAATGTGAACCCTTTTTTTATTAGTGGTGAAAGGGCTGGAGTTCTCTTTCCTCCTGGGTATATACTGCAAAGCATCAGTTTCTGCTGTGAGACCACCATCCTCTTGCTGCTTCCTCCTAAATATTTTGTTCTCTCTCTCTCTTTTCAGACATAAAGAAAATAATTTTGCCCTTCATGGAGACCTTGGGCATCTCCTGAAGTATCAGCTCACAATGTCCTGAAGGTCTTCTGAGATGGGGATGACTTCTGTCTGCAAAGACGTTTTGAAGTAGGAATCTGATAACATGACGAATTCAATGCCCAGCTGCCCCAGTCGCTCCTCCAAAAACTGTATAAAAATGCATAATCAGACAGAATTGTTTTCAACAAATTTATAGATGTAAACAACTTCAAGGTTGGAAAGCCCCGCACTGCAGGGTGTATTTAGGAGAAGTAGGAACAGCTCCTTTCTGTTGCACAAGCCATGCCACATCCAGTCATTTTTGTATTTCCAGTGCATTGTAGTTTGGGTTTATGGTCTTGAGGACAGAAYTTGTGATTTATTAATGTTCAGCCTTTGCAAGGTGCCCTGGAACCACGGCTCGCCCTCAAAGCAGGGCTGGCACTTAGCTGTTTCCCAAGCTGCCATCAGGCTCGGGTGCTCACCAGGCACCCGYGCTCCCTGCAGCTGGAAAAGACGCCTCGGCACTCAACTTCCTTATTTAAATTGGCCACATTAACCCATTCCCAGGTTTTACAGCAGTCTGTGATAACTGCTGCTATTTAAGGATGCATTTCACTGAAAAAAGCTCTCTCCAGGGACAGGTTGTAGAACAACCATTTAAACAGTGGCAGGATACCAAGTATTCCTGATTGACACAGCTGAACTAGCAATACCCTCCAAGTTCATTAAAGGTCATTTCTATTGCTATGAGGTAGGTTTTAAAAAAATGAGAAAAGAGAGATTAATTTTCCATTGTGCCTTTAGAAGTATTGTTATTGCTATTTTATTTGCATACTTTTCCCCAAATAGTAATCTTGAGGCATTTTTTTTCCACAATTTATCTTTTCTTCTAGCAATTTCATTATTTTTGAGAAGAGAGGGTTTTTTTTGTTTGTTTGTTTTTGTTTTCTTTTTCTTAGTTAGGAGACAATGAAGATGAATGTGTGTCTGGGGAAGATGGCAGGTTCAACATTTAAAAGGATATATGAAATGCTTAGAAATAGAGCTGTATTTAACGTAAGATGCTTCCAGGCAAGCAGAATTCTGAAATCAAGGACATTTGAAGTCTCAGATTTTATGGTATATGCTTTACAGTTGGAAAAGCTAAAATGAAAATATTAAAGCAATTGTACGTTTGCAGGCAAGGTAATGAAAAGCGGTACAAAAGCAGCCCCGGTGCAACCCCGTCCTTTGCTCAAGGAACCAACTTGGCTTCACCTAACAGCTACGGAGGGACCTGGTCCGGGATCGGTTTCGGTTTCCAGAACAGCCGCTCGCATCCTCCTTTTGCAGAGATTTATGCACAGGTCTGCCCACGGGAGCGCGAAACAGCCTCGGGGCAGCGGGATGCACCTCGGCTGGAAAGAAATCACCCTCTTGCAAAAGTCAYGGGGGTGACTCGCGTGTTTCCCAGCCCTGCGTGCGCCCCTTAATGACTCTGCTAATTGGGGGGCGCTGCGCGGGACGCGGCCGGGTTCCTCGCGTCCTGATAACCCCGGGTTATTTYGTCTGCGCGGCGCTCGGCGCGGCTCCGTGCGGGCAGAGCTCGTTCCCCTCGCGCAGCTGGCAGCTCACGGCGCAAAACTGATAAATACTCTCACATCTGGCGCTCGGGAGGGGAAGCGCCTGGTGGCAAACGCGCGGGGCGGCGGTCTGCGCAGCGCGGCTTGGAAACGCCGTTCAAGCGGCCGAAGAGCCGGCCTGGAGACACGCGGGCTTTAGCAGCGGCCCCGAGGCCGTGTCCGCCGGGGAAACGCAGCGCAGGGGACAGCGGGGCGCGTAGAGAGCGGATTGGGAAAAGGCGGGGAAGCGGGAGGAGGAAAACAGCGAGAGTTGTCCCGGGAGCAGAGCCCGCTGGAGCGCGGGGGGCGCGGGGGGACCCCGCGAGGCCCCGGCGCGAGGGCGGGCTCGCCCG